AGGCCCTGATACGACGGGGGCCCGTTGCCCCCCCCCCAGCAGGATGTGGACAGCGGCGTATTTAGAAAATCGCGAAGGGGGGGGCAAGGGTTTGGAGGGCGCCACCTCACCCAAGGAGGGCGCCATACGGTCGCGAGATAAAAAATCGCTCAGTGGGGGTTGGGGGGTTGGGAGGCGTTTTTTACCATGCCACCAGTTTTTTTTTGCGTAACCTCGTATAGGTCGTGCTGCATTGATTTTGCATCGTGTGTATTCATTATACTCCAGGTCACAAAAGGTCAAGTGTTCTTGAAATGCTGCGCCGAAGGCGCGCGAAATTTTTGAAAACAACCTTTTCCTCCGCTTTTTAGGCACGCCTTTATACGATCACTGTTCAAAGCTCCTCTCGCTCTTTTACCAAATTTGAAGGTGTAAAAAATACCTAAGGTTTGGTCGGGCCGCTGCCACACAAACTGTACAGAAAGCTTGGCTCATGGGTGTCGATGCATAAAAGTTTATTGGCGGTGGCATATCTACGCACCAGATCACCGTATCGGATTGATACCGGAGCGCGAGATGCGTAAACATCATCCAAATTACCTCAGACCAGCCTTCATAGCCTTCTCACAGATGCATACAGTGTACCCACATAACCAGTTTCAATCACCGAAACTTCAGATGCCTGCTGTTGCGCCCGAACCTGTTGACAATACTTAATCGTAATCCATATAGATGCCATGATGCACGTAAAGTAGGATCAATCTGTTAAGACCAAAGACGTGTTTTATGCATCGTAGAGCGTAGATAGTTTTGGTAGGTATAGATACTTCATTCATTGTGCTGAATGCACGTTCATTTGTGGCAGTTTTCACAGGCAAGACATCAACTATGTGCAATAGAACGACTAAGTTGAAAAACATGCCAAAGGAGTAAATAAATGATAGGAGGGCAGCGATCAACGGATGTTGCCAATAGGTAGAAGGGCTGCGATCCACAGGAGGGCACTAATAGGTAGAAGAGCCCCGATCAACATCCCGAGTTTCGACAGTAGGGCACCGATAGGTAGGAAGTTGGCGAGCAGCAGGAGGGCGCCAATGGATAGAAGGGCAGCGATCAACAGGAGGGCACCAATAGGTAGGAGGGCGCCGATCAACAATCAACAGGAGGGCGCCACCAGGTAAGAGGGTGGCGAGGAACAGGAGAGCACCAATAGGAGGGTGGCGATCAACAAGAGGTCGCCAATAGGTGGGAGGGCGGTCATCAACTGGAAGTCGCCAATGAGCGGAAGGGTGACGATTAAAATGGGGGTGGCAATGGTGAGGAGGGCGCCTTTGCTCAAGAGGATGACACGAACAGGAGGGCGTCTGTGCGGAGGGCGCTGGTCAACAGGAAGGTGCCAGTGGATAGGAGGGCGGTGATCAACAGGAGGGTGCCAGTGGTTAGGAGGGCGGCGATCTACACGAGGGCGCCAATAGGAGAAGGGCCCCGATTAACATTCAACAGGAAGGACTAGGGAACCAATAGGTAGGAGAGCGGCACTGAACAAGAGGGTGCCAAAAGGGAGAAAGGCGGCCTTCAAAATTTCACATGAGGGCTCAATAGGTAGGAGAGCGCCAATAATTATGAGGACGCCGATCAGCAGAAGGGCGGCAATGTGTAGCAGGGTGGCGACCTACAGGAGGGCGCCTTCGGGTGAGAGGGCGCTTATTTACAGGACAGCGGCTTACATAGGCGACCACCGTTACGCTTAGAGAGCTACAGCCTACAAATGTGGTTGGAGGGCGCCCGAGGGAGCCCTCCAACCGTATTTGGAGGGCGTATTTGGAATGGGCGTCCTCCGAGGGCGCCCTCCATCCGTATTTTCCCTGTAAACACATTCGCGATTGGAGGGCGCCCTCCAGTCGCGATTGTTTTTCGATTCGATTATATCACAATTGCATTTGCGATTGGAGGGCGCCTTCGGCGCCCTCCAATCGCAAAGGGCGCGCCCAAGGGGGGGGGGGGCCATAGCCCAGTGGCCCCCCCCTGCCTACGCCCCTGGATGTGGAACCTGCCAGACCTCAACAGGGCGCGGGTTAACCGACCGATGTGCGGCACAACTGAACAATCCGACCTCAGGTCAGACAAAATCAGTGTGAGGACTGAGGACAATGGTCATAAGCCAAACGCAGATTTGCACCACGGCTTTTACGTTGCTGTTCTACGACTTCCTGTTATTTTTCACGTGAATGTCACTTGTTTTTTCCGTCTCACTTCTTGCCTCTAATATTGTGTCTTAGTAGCGAGAGACGTGTCCCGACTCCCGATGCATCGTGTGTTGTTTCACTTGCACTCTATTGTACCTAAACTTATTCGACCGTTTATAAAATTATTCGATCGTTTACAATTTATGATCACTTGTGTGACACCGTGGCGTTAAAAGCCAGCCTTCTGCCTTCATTAGATCTCGCAACATCTCGCTGCAGTAGGTAGGTACTAAAAGATGAATAAATACACAGATCATTGATTGCATGAATCATGCTATCATGCATGAACAGATGAAAACTATAACAAATAAAAAGTATATATTATTAATTTATATAAAACAATATTTACTAATATTTATTAATTATATGATATTGACATTTTTGGACAAGCCGGTGCCTAACTCGTGCCAAAATTCTAGAACCATGCAGTATCGCAGCAGTTAGTTCATTCTACAGTTCTCTTCGGCGGTAAACCCCATATTTGATCTGTAGATAAACGGTCTGGCTTATCAGAGGACAAAAACCGTTTAAAGCTAAACGGTATTTGCAAATGCAGCTTTTGAAAATAATATATAGGTATATTAAACCGCGAGTAGATAGTACAAATCTTTTAAACGTCGAGCTGATTGAGGTGAGACGTAAGACTTTTCTATCTACGATCGGTTTGATGATTGTATTCCGTACCGCCGATATTTTTCGGGCCCTTAAAGGTAAAACATACATTTTATATATGCATAAAATGCGACATATTTCATACTAGACGAAATGTCTACTATGTAATGTCTACTATGTTTAACAGTTTGTTATAAACAAACTATATTTAGGTAATACGTTGTTTATAGGTATATAATAAGCTAGGCATATAATAATAAGTTGCCTATATATAATAGGTTGAATTTTTCAACAAAAAACATGTCTATCGGATGCAGTTTGAGCTCAGGAACACGATGGTGCTATTTATATTGGTGTACAATATCAAATACGTACTAAAAATTGATTTGAAAAAATATGATTTTGAATTTTTTGCTATAATGCGTATAACTTGACCATTTTTGAAGACAGCTCGCTAAAATTTGCTTAAGTAAGTCATAATCATGTGTTCTATCATATATATATGTATATATCCTTTTTTTGAAAAGTCAAAAACTTTTGAAAAAAAGATAAAAATATAAATTTTTAATTTTAACCTAGATAAGTTTCAACCTTTTATAAAATTTTGAAAATCCGAGATAGCAGTTTGATAGCGCAGTCTACTCTGAGTCCTCCATTGCAAATAAATTGGATCTTGCTTAAAAACTGAGCTCTTGGGAGTGATTCCCGTGGTTCAATGTTTTGCGTCGAAATCGGCCGAACATGACCTCACTCTGACGTCATTTCCGGCCGACCTATGATAGTTACGAAAGTCATATTTTGACACAAGGTGTCAACTTGATGCAGCCGAAGGTACTGAAAGTTTAGCAAGCGGTTGACAAGTTATTGCAGAAAAACGGGAGGGGGTATGAATAGCCCCCCCCCCCCCAATGGGGCACGAGTTAACATGCGAATGTTTGAGGAGCAGGCTGCGCAAAGGAATCGCATTCTCAGCTGTGCACGAAATTAAAATTAATTAAATTAAAATTACTGACAAGACCTGAGTCAAAGTCATTCGAATATAAGTCCGACACTGAGTCAACCTAAACGATGCGTATTGGACGCTCGTCATTGCTGACACTGAAGCTGACTCGCCTGTTTTATAAAATCCAGGCTTGGCAGTTGGCAAACTAACACCGGCCGAATTGCCCTACCTCACCGGCCAAATAACTCTGCTATAATAGCGGGGTTAAAGCATAAAAAACAATAACAATGATTTAAATAATAAACATAACAATACAATATTAAAACTATGATAAAAACAATTTATAGCGGGTAAATTGGCCGCTTTGCAGGCCTTTGTAAAACGTCAAAATTGACGCATAAGTAATTAATCTATCATTTTCAGTTTACTGTGCAGGAAAGTAAAATGAATGTGACACCTGTCAGCGTTAAGAGAGTGCAGAAATATGTCATCGATTTCGAGATATAATAACGCTTTCTAAAAAAGCGGTCAAATTACCTCATGGTCCCCAATGTAGATTGGGGTTAAATGTTTATAAATGTTTACAATGTTTATAAATAAAGTGTTAAGTGTTGCCCCCGGTGCAATTTTCCGATTGATTATTCCTTAAACAGCTAACACCTAATTACCGATGCATTCATTCAGTCATGCATCGGTAATTGCTGAAAACGTACTAAATGCTAACGAAACTGTTAAGCCTACCTGCCTATATTTAGGCACAGTTATCAATACCTTCACTGTTACCTAGCAGAACGCTTTGACTAATAGGAGAATGGAGGTTGACACTAATTCATTAGTCAATTGTTTGTATGCATCACACTAGGGGACAACGGACCGGGACCCTCAGTTCTCAAGCCCTAGGCCGGCCCGCCGCGCCCCAGCCGGCAGACCCACCGAAAACAAACGGCACCCTCGCCTCGGGCCCGGCCAGAGGTGCAAACTTGGCAAGGAATTGTTCCGTACGATCATTCAGTTTTAGGAAAGCATGTGACAGTGACAGTAACCAGCCAGAGCTGCTGATTTGTTCTACATGCCATCGATGTTATTATTGTTTGTTATTCCTTTTAATTCCATCAGACATCGGCGACCGTTTAGCACAGGTAGGGTTCGCCGCTCCTAGGTGAACCCTCCCGTGGCCATGCGCACCTCTAGCGGGGCGGTACTATCTGCCTGGCGTACGGTGACGTCAGTCGCGGCTGCGCACCGGCCGCCCGGGGTGAATTCCAGGCGGGCGGCCAGTTCGGGTCCGGCCGCCGACGGTGGTCTGTGTCGCTCCGTTCTGTGTCCGTGTGTCTCGCGTTGTGCAGCCGGCCGGGTCCCGCGGGGTGCTGAGCGCCGAGGTCCCAGCCGCGCACACACACAACCATGGCGCAGAACGCCAACCCGGACTTTGTGGAGCGCAAGGAGGGCAACCAGGTGTTGCACGTGCGGGAGAACTCGGACTCGCTGATGAACTCGCTGTTCGACTCGGTGCTGAAAAAGCAGGAGCCGAGCATGCCGCTGACGGTGCCGCTGAGCATGCGGAAGCTGCCCAAGTCGTTCTTCAACCCTCCGCAGCACGGCTCCAAGTCGCCGTCCATCTCTCACAGCCGTAACTCGTCCACGGATTCGACTCCCGCTCCGGGCCAGGCGCTGCACATGCGGGCTCACTCGTCTCCGGCCACGCTGCAGCAGACGTACGCGGCCGCACAGCAGCTGCAGCAGCACGCCCACCTCAAACAGCAGAGCTACGACTTCACCGACAGTCTGGGCCCGCTGCCCGAGGGCTGGGAGCGCGCCTGCACCAGCCAGGGACTTACCTACTTCATCAAGTGAGTGCGGCAGGACGGGACGGGACGGGACGGGTGGGGCGGGGTGAGGGGTGACCGTCGCTGTCGCCGGCGGCGGCGTGGGGTAAAGGGAAGGGGTGGGGCGGACGGCGGGCAGAACGTGCGTGTTCACCTGTGAGGGTGCTGATCGGCGACCTGTGGGGACGCTGATCGGCGCTGTTTGTCGTACGCCATTGACAGACGGTTATACGGTATTATGAGCGGATAATCGCCCGTCGAGGTGCAGGTTTCTACCGTTGAGCACTGTGAGGCGTTTCATTCAGAAATGTGCAGCGCCTCCCAACGTTGACACGAAGCATAGCCGGTCCGCGGCTCATGGAGTTTTTGGGCCATTCGAATGAACATTTGAGTGAGCGAGGCGGGATACCCTGGGCTGATTCATGATTGAATATGTTTCTTCCCCGCTCACTAGGCAATGCGCTAGGACATAATATTGCTCACATTATGCACGGGGTGCCGCGGCAACAATTAATTTATTTTTCCATTACCTACCAGGGTGTCCCCATGCCCAACGATCGATTATGAAGTGCGAAATAGTTTTCAGTGCCTACATCAGGCGGCGCTGTTCCTATACCTCATACACTTGCAACCATAGATATAAAGACCTTGCAACAGCCGGCAGGTATCCATTATCTTGGCTCTGGTTCCGTTGTCGCGGCTGCATTCCGCCGGCGGTTCGATCCTTCCTGCGATGTGTGCGGATGCCAAATATCCCGTGTTCGTTATCGAACAATAGCTGCACTAACGAGCTAACTGGCCGGCCGGTCCGTACGCCACTACCAATTACGTATGTATCGCTGTAGCAGCGGACGGGCATCAGATATATCAGATATCAGCAGTCCCCACTGTAGTGGGCGGCGTCTGAGAAACTCGACCGATCTTCCGGTCTGCCTGGCGGCTAACACTATGTAGGTATAGGGTGACTTATACGATTTGCCAGCATCAGCAGAGAAGGGAGGAGAGGCGACGATAAGTTCGCCAGATCTCAAATGCTTATAGGCCATGCGTAGCTGTGTTACAAAATATTATAAATCATTAACAAAGTGGTCCCTTGCGTAATAAAAAAACTCACCGAGCACACAATTTAGACTGGCAGGATCAGGGCACTAAAGAGTCAGGACTATGACGAGCCTTCATCTCAAGCTGGTAGCAAATTGGTCGGTTACACTACTTAATTTTTTTTTTTTAACATATTGGAAATGAACGTTTATTTTTATTATTTAAAGGGACCCTCCCACCTTCAAAAAAGTTAATGAATTGGCATGAAAGTGATGTCGCTCGGTTCAGGAAGAGCAAAAACGAATATCTACCAAATTTCATCGAAAAATATTCACCGGTTTTCAACATATTAGACTTTTACTTTTGTTTACTTTTTGGGATCTCCGCTGTTCCTAGCGACTTTATTTGAAAGTGCGGCATTTGTTGCGCGCAAAGCAGCATATACCACCGCGTGCTACAAAACGTTTTAGTCAAACATTTAACGGACGTTCGAAAGCCTGATGACGTCATCAGATTCCCGTAATGGTTAAGAGATAGGGACCACGCTGGTCCCACCCTGCAAGTAAAGGGAAGAAATTTCTTGAACACCATAAAGCTGCGGGGGTTGCGACCAGGATAAATGGTGGTTTCTGAGCCTGGCCGCAAACTTGGCTATCTCAACTCAAAACTAATGTTAAGGTGGGAGGGTCCCTTTAAGACAACTATAAACTCAGCCAGTTGTCGCAAAATGCGCTGCTTACATGGCTGTGCAACAAGCTACGGCTAGCAGACACCCGCGGCTGCTTATGCCACCCATTCAACGATACGGGCTACAGTTATAAGAAACTCCAATGTTATGGATAGACGGATTGACGAAGCGAGAGCCAGCTATGTATAAGCAAAACTTGCTTCCAAAGATCTGACCTCCGCCGTCTAAACGGGAGAAGCGCCGTCTAAATTTATCCCCTAACACCTTTCCCAAAGAGATAAATCCTTAGGTTTTGAGGTTTCATTAATCTTCCAGGTCAGTTATGTGTACTCTGTCGAAAGGTTTCGGCGTTCATGGCGGTTTAATGGCGTAATTTAGAGACTTAAATATGTCTGCAACATATTCGCATATAGCTTAAGACCATTTGGACGTCACGAAGAGTTCCGAAGGCTTAGACTGTGCTGTGGTCTGTGTATGGTGTGCTCCGACTGCTCAGCACGCAACAGCCACTGTTTTAAGACGTCATTCATTTCGCGACTTGTCTGGCAATAATCGATCACACCGACTCTGTAGCCCGATACGTTTCGCATATGTATGCTTTTGATTGGCACATGAATGGCATGTGCCGTAGTGGCATTTGCAGACCGAAAATAATTGCAGTGTAATGGGTAGAATGCAAGCTTTCTACCTATCTTGACACACATCTTTCATGCTGATGCTCTCGACTGCGGAAGTTACAGTTGTTTATTGAAACCCTTTAGAAGTGCTAAAGGAGACCGTCAGCAAGTGGGTCGGCTAGCGCTGGCGCTGGCCAGTCCCTCGGACACAGAACGTTTTATGAAATTTCGTGTTGGGACTTGGTTTTTAAAGAGAGGAGCCATTAATTAAATCACCCTGGATAAAATATATTTGTGGTACAAAGTTTCCAAATGTTCTTATGCCTGTCCAGCCTTAGCTGCCATGGAAGTTGTCCTGAAAATCAAAATAAAAGCTTATGTTCACATGCAACCCGACTTCGCGCTAGTCGGACCTTCCACTCACGCCGATCTCGCTGCTGGGTCTGTGCCTCCCGAGTTCTGACTTTGCTGCAGCGGGTCGGTGCGCCGCCGCTGCAGCCGCCGCTGCACGTCCCCGTACCGGGTAGTGGCGGCGCCGGCTCCCCTGGGGTGCCGACCACCCAGCCGTCACCGGTACTGGCGCGTTACGTCAGCCGGGCCGGTCAGAGTCGGACCGACACACGGCGGAGGCGGACCGGCGCCGCATCCTGGACCGCCCCCGCCCCCGCCCCGGCCCAGCCCACAGACCGCACCCCGACACCTGACAACCGCCACCCGCGGTCTCACGAACCCGGCACGAACCTCCACTGAGACACGGTGACCTCCAGTGGGACGCCCTGCCGGACCTCCAGCGGGACGCGCTGCCGGACCTCCAGTGGGACGCCCTGCCGGACCTCCTGTGAGACGCGGATCTTCGCGCCGCCCGATACCGGATCTTGTCGCTACTCTCCGGCAAGGTGGACACTGGACAGATCCTTGCTAATGGCCTTTAATCCTGAACGGGCCGCCTGACCGCTAACAACAAAGTAATGACGGCATGCCAATCCATGACGGGTTCAACTGTCTGGACACAATGCTATTTTTATCCCCTATCTTAAAATCCGTCGTCTCGGATGCGAGTTTCTTGTTTCCTCATTAAATATGGAGTCGGATGAAGAATATTGCAGACGAGTCCAGCGTTCCTTGTCGGTAGCTCATGGGTATTTCATCTGGCGATGGAGATCCGCCTGTCCCCTCCCTCAACTCCACCTGTATGTATGAGACGTGTCTGTTCCCGGTTCGGTGGCTGATCCTCGCTTTGTCGGCCGGCCTGCCCCAGAGTAGCTATTTATGTGCTGGTCCCCGGCAGTCGGCACCTGGTCCCCACTCTGCCGATCGGCCCGTGTGTGTGTGTAGGTCGGTCCCCGGTTTGTCGCGCGGTCCCCACTCTGTCGTCTGGCCCGCGCGCGCGCGCGTGTGTGTGTGGGCCGGTCGGCGGCTCGGCGGCCGGTCCCCGTCAGTCGGCCGGCTCGCCGCCGGCAGGTAGGTCCGATACCGATCAGCTCCGGCCCGGTCTCACGGTCCGCGGCCGGTCCGCGGCCCCGCTCGGACCGGTTTGTGTCCGGCTGCCGGACCGCGCTCGGAGACGGCCGCGCCGATACCGCGTGCACACACACACACACACGCATGCACGCTAGCGTCAGATGATGAACGGCTATACCGGGGCGTCAACCACAGGTGAAACTCATCTGTATAAAAATACGCTAGCACGAGTGTATCAAAGCGTGGAAGGCAAGGCCAGTGTTTGCAAGGTTGCAAGATATTTGAGGCCTTACCCAAGTTGTCACCCCGATCGCTTTGTCAACTTGAATGCCGGAATTGTAACGTTTTGGCCCGGGAACTTTCTTATCACCGAGAGGGTGCGACGAATGCTGATACTAGCAAGGCTGAATGGGAATTTTCAGTTTGGCTACTTACTTGATGCCTTTGGTCTCTTGGCACACCGGCGCACAAGCTATAGGTAAGCATGCTAAGGTCCTACTCCTAACATTTTTGGTGCCCAAATCGTTTGGGTACATCTATGTCACTGTCCTAAGCACACGAGAATACCTAACTCATATAGCAAGCCGGACGAAACTGACGACAAAAGTCACTGTGGTATAAATAACTAGCTGCCGCTCTTTAGCAGATCCGGGGGTTGGGGCCTTTGGGGCAAATGCCCCCTCCCCCCCGTAGCGCCCGAAATCGACGAAAATTTTCGGTTTTTCGAAAATAAAAAGAAAATTAAACAACTTTTATTCGGAAAAGTTTGTTTTGAACTGCACATAGCATTACGTAGGGAATCCAAACCCGATGAGCTTTTGAAAGTATGAGAAACTTTTTGGGGGGTATGCCTCCCCGCAGTGTCCAAGACCGCCTTTCTGGATCCGCCAGTGCTGCCGCTAGGGTCCCTTCAGTACCATGTGGACACTCTGCCAGCTGTGTATGACGGAAGACCATTCAATCCACCGCGTGGCTCGGAGAGGAGGCTGCAGCGGCGCGCTGTCCGCTGCCGGACGGGCCCGGTGTGGTGTGTGGTGCGCCGCTGGTCGGCCCCGGGTCCGGTGTAGTGTGGCGTGCCCCCCGGTCGGCCCCGCCGCCGCTCAGCTCTGGCCTTGGTGCTCGTGCAGCGCCGACTGACAGAGTCAGTCTTTGAGGCACCCTCTGCAGACCAACAGAGAGCTGCGCCGGCACTGGCCAGTTGGAGCACAGCTGACTGT